CGATCCAAGGGTAGGCCTGTGAGATGGGGATGTGCTCGTCGATCACGTAAAACAGCAGCGAATGCAGCTGAACGATTTCTCACATCGTTATCTTCGTCTTATTCTGAGTCTACCATGGATGGCAATTGCGAAAGACAGAAGCGAGGGGTTTGTTCCAAGTGCTCGCACATGAATGAAGACGAGTCGTATAAGTACTCGCATGTTTGCCATTTATGGTAAAGAGCAGATTCAGAAAGCCCTTAATCTGCGAAGGATGGAGGATACCTGTGATCGACTCAAAAATCGTGACGATGATGCTCTATAGTCATTTATTTTTGCGTTTATTAGGAAGTGCCTATATTTAAAAGGGTTTCGAGCTATCAGGGCATCAAGGAGTCGCGTTGCTGCAAGCAACTATCAACTCACTTCCATCTAGACCAAACTATGCAGAAGGGAAGACCATAAACAGAGAGAAACTGAAGAGTAGCAGCAAAAACTGAAAAGAACATTGTTTGTCAAAGTTCAGTTCTTTCGCCAGCTACAGTAGCAAAATGACTCTTTCGAAGTTATGGGGAAAATTCGACGGGTTCCACAGAGCAGTGACATCAAAGATAATGATGACTTCCTCGATGACTTTTTCGCCTACAATTCAAGATATGAAACACAATTATTGCTAAGGAAATGTGGGCGTTACCAGCGCCGCTTGAAGAGGAGAACAATGAAATGGATGATAGGCGACATAGGTGAATAATCAATAAAACCGCACCTGTGACTGAAATTGATATATCCATATTCTATAATAAACAAATAAATGACCATGACCACTACTCGTTTGGATCAAATGGGTTTTCGCATCCTCCAGTCTTTGAAGAATACAGGATATGCTTCAAAACTATAGCCTCAAAAGCCTGGTGTTTGCACTATCCCTGCGTGTACAAAGTTGAGTTTACGAATTCTCCGAGAGAAGTGAAAGAGTTATGGCAAAATAACGAACTAAGCCGAAAACCAAGCTGCAAGTCGCCATTCTTGCGCAAACTATTGCAACGTGTTGTGTTTCAAAAACACAAGAGTACGATCGACACCTAAGGTGGGAAAAGGCTTATCTCAAAGATGAAAAAAGCTGGGGGAAACACAACTAACCTTGAATTTTGCTCGGAATACTCTCGATACATCTTCACAGAGCCCTATTCGAGCGCCAGAGTTACACGATACATTGATACGAGGCAACTGCAAAGTTGATGAGTTTGCTGATTGGAATAAGCTTGAGGAGGAGTATTTCTAGGCTACTGGAAACGGTCCATGCTCGTTCACGTTATCTCTTCACTAAACATGCTCCAGAATGGCATCAGTAACACTAAGAAAACACCTTTTTCCTTCTGCTGTATTCCGAGGCTAGGCTGTAAACAGTATCTTCAGGAGTTGCAAAGGATCCCGATTGAAAAGTGATGTCGTTCGCAATAGCAACTATGCTATAGCCACACGGTTTTTCAGGCGTGAAAAGCCTACAAAAGTTTTGTTTGATGAAAACGGCTAAGATTGATGTCTCAGGCAACTCGCCTTAGTAGCCATGCCACCATGCCTGTTTCGTTGTTGCAGTTGTCAGCACGTTGTTTGAGCTCCTCTTTATCCGAAATACGTACAATCTGGCCGTTCTAAAAAATGATCTTTGGATGAATGAGAACAGTCATCGAAATTTTCAGTAATTTTGTTTTCAATACAAAACTTAAAGGTCCCCCTCTATAGAAATGTGCCTCTGCCTCTATTATTGGGGCAAGAACCCTCAGTCCGGATCGTCCCGTCCAATGAGAACTGTTTGAATAAGAACTAACCGCTCGAATGAGAACTTACATCGTCACAGCCAGGGAATTCTAGTACCACAGGTGACTTTGCTATGTCATTTCAAGACGAGCGGGAAGGAATCTATATTCCCACCACATCCCTCCACCTTTCTTCGAGTTGAAAAACTATACTGAAGAGGACAAAGTTGCGATTGATCAGTCAATTACACAACAGAGTGATACAGTACATCGGTGTATCGGCCAAAATTCCCACAACGTAAATCCGTGGGACATGGGATGCTGTCGGTGCTACGCAACGCATCACAATGCAAAAGTGAAACCAGTATTGCGAGGCAAGAGTGGAGCCAGAATTTCAATTTAACAACTTAAAACAACTGAGGCTACTTCGTCATGGTCGTGCTTACATATGCATTAGAAAATGGAGATCAATTTCAAGGATAAAAAGCGTAGACGTGCCAGAAGAACGAGTTTGCATACGAGCTGAAGCATTTGGAGAGTTGAAAGGAAATTGTGATCTAGAGTCTTAGAAGGAAAACCAAACCTCCCTCCAGAATTTCCCTTTACGGTCGTGTCGCTATACACTCACGACAACATTTGTCAATCTTAATCGCAATGGGTCGGGGTCGCGCAACGGCATGACCCTATCATCTGGGAAATAGAACGCAACGCACCCCGTGAATCCTACTACACGTGAACGCTCCCTCTCACGAAACGTTGCATTATCTGTAATACTTTGAATAGGATTGTCGCCCCTCCTTCCCGGAGTCCGATCCTACCACCTGCCATTTAGTGTTTTCACCCAGTTGCCTGTATTCCTTGCAAATTTGAGCACTCGAGATGAGCTAAAGGAGTCAAATCAAATCTCAACTCTAGGCCATTTGTCGGTAGTGTCTACTCCTGCTATTTATGCTGCTTTTTTAGTGCTTTCATCTTGCCACCTACCGACTATTCCGATCCTGCTACTTGCATACCTCTAAATTCGAACGCCTTAGTTCTGAGATAACGATTTACGCGATACACCCCAATGGGCGGGGTCTTCACATGTCACCTGCCGATAGTGCTCCACCTTGCCGCCCGTATCACTTCTGAATTCGAGCGCTCTGACTTTAACGAATTTTCGAGCACATCCCGCTCCCAGCTGTCGGACTGTACACCTGCTGCCTGCCGTCAGTAATCCCATCCTGCCACTAGTGTCTCTTCCGAATTTGAACGCTCTAAGTCTTCTTCTTATTCTTTAGCGTTTGTCCCGCTTGTAGGCGGGGTCCGCTTTTCTGATATGTTGACGCCACTTCTCCCGATTGAACGCTTGATCGGAATGGATGTTAGCCGCTTTAAGATCTTCGTGCAACGTATCGAGCCACCGCTGCTTTAGACGTCCTCTAGGCCGCTTCCCGGGCACGTCAAGGTTGAGACCGATCTTGCGGACACTGTCGTTCTTTGCACGAGGAGTATGACCATACCATCGTAGACGAGCTTCGCGCATTTTACCGACAATGGACGCAACACCAAATCGCTCCCTGATGGCGTCATTACTTATACGGTCTAGACGTGTTACTCCGGCTGTCCAGCGCAGCATTTTGGTCTCCATCACGCTGAGACGGGCTACAACCTCTTTGGCTGCAGGCCAGCATTCAGCGCCGTAGATTGCGACCGGCCGGATGACGGTTCTGTAGATCTTGGATTTGAGACGCTCAGGGATGTTCTTATCGCAGAGTACGCCAGTCATTGAGCGCCACTTCAACCACGCTGCATTCACGCGAGATTTCGTTTCAAAACCCAGGCTGTCATCAGACGCAATTGCCGATCCAAGGTACTTGAAGGTTGTTGTCCGTGTGAGCTCAGTGCCACTGATATTGATAGAGCCTGGCTCGCTCGAATCAGTGGTCAAGTACTCAGTCTTTTTGACGTTTAACCTGAGCCCGAACATAGCCAGACGGTCGGACCAGGTCTGCACCTGTGACTCGAGCTCACTTTTGTCTTCGCTGGCGAGCATCACGTCATCGGCATAAAGAAGCGTCCATGGAGCCGGCTTCTGGAGGTCTTTTGTAATGGCATCCATGACGACAACAACAAGTAGTGGGGATAACGCAGAGCCTTGGCGTACTCCGACGGAGATGGGGAATTCCGTCGATGTGCCCGCTGCCGTTTGCACTCGGCTCTTTGGGCTAGTGTAAAGGATGCGCACCCNCGGCAGGGCGATCTTTAACGTACAAATCAGTGGTCGGTGTTGTGTTGCGGCCGTTTCATAAGGAACAGTCTTTGCGTCTGTTACGAGCCCCTGATCGCGGTGCCTGACAAGGACAAAGTCAATTTGCGTTCTGGTCTTACCGCTATAGAAGGTGATGAGATGAGAGTCACGTTTGCGAAATCTCGTGTTTACAATGGTGAGATTATGCGAATCTGCATATTCGAGAATTCGCTCGCCATCAGTGTTACGCGACCCATATCCGAGACCCCCATGGCAGCTATAACCGTCTTTCGTAGCACCCACGTGACCGTTGAGGTCACCTGCGACAACTATGGCTTCTTGTAACGGCACTTCAGCTGTCTTTTCATCGAGCAGGTTCCAGAACGTGCCCTTGATTTGCTCGGAGCATCCAGTCTGTGGAGCATACGCTGAGAAGAGATAGTATTTTTGGCGTTCTATGACTACCACGATCTTCATTAGGCGGTCATCGAAGCGTCCCACGCTTACTATCGAGTCGCGGAACCGTTGAGAGACTATTATCCCGACGCCGTTGGTGGTTTTGGGGCCACCACGAAGAACGGCTTTGAAGCCGAGGCCAATGTCCCTGGACTTGCAGCAGGACCACCTCGTTTCCTGCACGGCACAGAAATCAATTCGACACCTAGAGCTTCTGCTAACTCGTACGAGCGTCCCGTTAATGTGCCGACATTTAACGTCGCAACGCGGGTCTTTCATACGTTGCGTGGCTTTCGGACTAGCTTAGATGCCCCCCGATGCCGTCCTTGCACCGGGACCCTCGCATACTTTTCACACTATCCGGGCCTTGCGAGTGCGCGTCGGCTCCCGCGGACGCCGTAGCATTACATCGAAATTCTTTAAGTGGCATAAACATTTTTGATGTGACTGGGGTGTTCGTAGGCCGGCCTGTCACGGGGCCTGTCGCCTGCATTCGAATGTCCGTGGTCAGCTCAGCCCACAGAGTGGGCAGTTTCGAGTGGCACCCCTTGGAGGAACGGACTTCGCCACTAATTTAAACGCTCTAAGTCAAAGAAACAAATTGCCGTGCACGCCCCGTTCTCCGTGAGCGAAGTCCATTCCTGCACGCTACTATCACGGTTCCTATTCCTCCATCTGTATCCATTTCGAATTTGAACACTACGCCCGCGGGAATAGAAATTTTGCATAGGTGTGTGTGAGCCTCTTACAGCGGAACACAAGCCTAGGCCAAGGATTACATGGAAAAGTTCCACTACGCAGTCGAAAACACTGAAAAGCTCGCATTGCAACTCGAAGCGAAACGAGCTAGATAAAGCGCTAGATAATGCAGAAGCAAACGGCAAACAAGCCCCCAACACAGACGAGATGTCGCCATCAGCTGGTCGCACCTAAACTACCTACCTTCGAACACCGGTATTTAACGAGAAAATATAGAATTTTTCCAGTTTTTGTACGCGATTTGAAGCCAATGTAAACATTCAACATTTACTGAGCGACTTACAAGAACTCAGCCACCTAACACCGGTACTGTGTGGCGAGCCACGCCATCTAAACAGACGATACCCAATAAATCGCTCGCAGTTGAATCTCTTGGGGAGAAGTATTGTAACCCTTGTCAACTAATAGCCGCTCAGCAAACTAAAAAACCAAGGGTTGTATTGGATGGATCATACAACGCAAAAAGTGCTCTCGAAGTTGGCAGCTCGCATTGAGCGGAAGATGCTGGAACAGTTGGCGGCACAAACATGGATGAAAGCCCCTGGAAAACGGGAACCATAGTAAAAGCGGTGCATCAACAAATCAGCACAGAAGAACGCACAAATGAAATGGTCAGAAAGCAAGGGATTACCTACGGCGACAGAGAATCAGCTTGAAAAAAGACATCCATAGCTTCCACAACACAAAACACGTGCATGTTCTGCAATTTCTCAGAACAGAGCGGCTGAATGTCGCAGATATGGCACTATTGCTGAACGAAACCACTTCCTTCTAAACAATATGTGCCATAATTATGACGAGAAGGATATCGAGCAAAGGTCTGCAGAAGAGAAGGGTGCAGATTCTGCAAAGGAAAAAAAGCACAATCAAGCTTTGTGCCCCCAAAGATGGCGGAAACCTACAAAACAGCAAGAAGTTCCACCAGCAAACAAAAAACCAACTCAGAAAACATGTGTGCAGCAGAAAGCAGCAAATAATACGACTCGCTGGCATATGAAGAATATGAGAGTGAATCCCGTATCCGCATACACAAGGGAGAACGCTACACAAAATTCAGTTCAACAAGTGTCGGAAGATACATGCACAGTAAGCGCTCATGGAACCAATGCAGCACTACACAAAAGAAATTCACGAGTACTACTCCTAACAGGAATGGGAAAAGTTTGGAACGCGATAAAGGAAAAGTGGCGACCAGTCGAAATCCTATTTGTTACAGGAGCAGACCACTCATTTATCAACCAAACTCTGACACAGGAATTAGGCCTCATTCACAACGAGACCAAGCACTTCAGCATTTACACCTTTGCATCCGCAGCACCAGAGGTGGAGGTGGTGTAGTGCAAGCGGCGCACTATATCGCACGCATGGTCGCGGGTTCGAATCCTCGATCGATATCCGCCAAGGCCAACCGAGCTTTAAATCCTTACGGAGTCGGTTAGTTGGTACCAGACTCGTCTGGGAGGATAAAAGCACTCACTTGAACATCTGCTGACCACCGCAAGTCATTTTATAGGCCACATACGCATTCAATCCGCCATTACGATTCTGAACGGAAGTCGTTCTCTCAGACGGGTTTGATTAAGGTCAAAAGCTTTATCCCTTTGGACTTTATCCGCAGCACCGATAGAAATGTGGAGTTGTTCAAGTTGAGTTAAAAGAAAACCAAGGAGAGCAACATAAACTGGGCTTGCACACAGTACCAATACTAAATGAGAGAGGAACGGAGACGCATCTTACTGCAGAAGATGTAAATTTCATTGCAAATCATAATCTAGAACTCTCAAGGCAGGATGCACTGAGTCCATACCACAAACTGTTCCCGGCTGTGGCCACTTATGGGACTTAATGTGTTGTTCTTCTCGAAACACGTTACTGTCAGCGTTCCAGGTTATCCCCTCGGAACTAGGATATCTGCTCACTGGGAAGCAACCGTTCCCAGATCATGTTCTCTAGCAAAAGGTAAGGATTACGCTCAGTATGATTTGAATGATCCAATCCACCACAAGTGATGAGGAGTATCTCCTCAGACAAATATTGGACGACGGACACGGCTGGTATATGTGAATACACAGGCACAACTAATGCGGAAAGTATGGCGATAAACGAACAAGTGCTTTCGTTTTTTTTTCACCAAAGCCGTTGGAAGGAGAAGCCATGGCTACTGTGTAGGCCTGCCGTACAAACAAAACCACCCCCCACTTCTCTCCAGCAAAGCAATCGCGTTGAAGCGGCTTAGCAGTGTGTAATCGTGCTTACAAAGGAACGATACATGGTCGCAGGGGTCATTCAAAATGAGATGTATACAGCCGTAGGTGGATTCGAACGCTGATCTCATATCTATGTTCCAAATCTGTTGAACGATCCTGAGAAAAATGTTACGGGACGAGTGTATCCGTGGGCTACCACTGCACCGAACAGATCACCAAGGGGAGCAAAGGCGTGGCTGCGCAACGGTAGTGCGGCTGATAGGTTGGTGGACTGATAGGCATGACATCAAGGTTTGATTCCTTGCGCTCTTTTGCTTTTCCATGAAATGCTTCCGGGGAGTAGCAATCCAATAATTTTTTGCCACTACTGACCGATTAAACACGCCTCTCTACCCCGAACAGTCAAGATGGTGTTTCGAAATCTTCGGCAGCTCCCTGCACTTACGGTAGATGGCGGTCGAATGACTCATTCGACCGCAGCCCTCTTTAGGATGGATACATCCTATAATATTGTCAGCGCTTTCAAAGCGGTAGTAAAGGTTAACTGGCACTGTTGGTGAAACACTGTAGAACAATAGTTTATCGACTTGCGTGCAGTGAACGCCCTTTCGAGAAGCTTTTTATGAGGTAAACGTGGTGATGCGGTGGGATATGATACCACGGCTGTACTCAAAATCCTGAATACACCTATGACCTGCTTTGAACTTGTCCCCTACAATACTCGTATGGGTATTGTAGGGGACAAGTTCTTCTTTGTTGATCTGAAGCGGCATCCAATGGAAATGACTGCCGTGAATGATGAGATTTCTAAAATAATTGTATGATACTATCGTTCAACTCATCCGCTAATCTCCATAGGTAGACAGATCGGTCCGCTTAATTCGCACCTGATAGTTATGAAACCTGATAGTTATGAACTCATAAGACATCGTAAGTTGACGATAATACATTAATATGAAAGCTCGTGACCCCTCGCACTTGCTCTTAATTTCCGTAGGCATCTGCCGTGACGATACAAATTGTGTTTTCACGTACGGGGAAGTGCGGTATCTTTTGACACCCGGAACCACTGAAGTCCGTGCACTCTCCTATCACCGCCATAAAATTGAAGTTCTGATTACAATGTTGTAACGCTACGCTACGCTATACTCTGAACCTCTATACCCCCACAAACGTATGAGGTTTCTCTCTCGAAGCTATGGTACCACTCGTCGCGTAACTTTGTTTCCAGAACCGCTTAGCAAATTTCGAACACGGATTTGAGATCACGTTCAAAACCACCAACGGCGTGTACATCTTATCTTGGATGGCCACTGCGACCAAGTATCCTTCCCTTGTTAGATCCAACACAAAACTCCTTAAGGAATACCACCAAAACCTTTAAAACGCAGCTGAAGGGAAGCATTATCGAAGAAGTTCCTGACCCACGATTGAGAAGTGGAGAGGTAATCCATTACATCCCTCACCAGCCAATCATCACGCCTCAGAAGCAAACTACTAAATTACGCGTGGTTTTTGACGCCTTGTTGCATTTCAAAAACTGCCCCGCTTCGAGTGATATTCTACATCAGGGTCCCCTCATTTAAGCTATTACGCTACGCTAGGCTTCCGAGTTTCGAAATTTATCGCGACGTCGGAAGTGATGTGACGAACACGAGCGCGAGGCAACGCGCTTCTTCTGGGTACGCAACTACAAAAAGTCCCCACAGAAAGAATCAAGTCATCTATCGATTTAATAGAGTTACGTTGAGTCTCAACGTGTCCCCCTTTCTTCTTGGACCAACAGCCCTTTTCACCTCCGCAACGCAGTAAATGACAGAAGACTGGAAGAGATAAGAGAAAACCTCTACGGCGACAATCTTATATTAGCAGCAGAGACCCAAGAGGAAGCGATACACAAATTTAGATATAGTCGAGAGATCTTCGCAGAAATGAGAATGAAATTACGAGAGTTTCTATATAACGATAAACTTATAGACGAAGGGACACCATGGGAGTCACGAACAAGTTTAGAGCATAGAAAAGTCTGGGAATACCTTGGTATAGCAAAAATGACAAGCTCACAATCCGATGCAACCTTCCATCTACGCGACATCTCACCAAACGTACTGTGACAAGGTGAATCGCTTCAGTGTATGACCCCTTTGAATGGCTCGCACCTTTTCCCACTCAAGCAAAAAGATCCCAACAAGACTAAGGAAACATGAGTTTGGTTGGGACACACCATTACCTGGGCACTTGCAAAAGCGCTGCAATTTGCCTAGTGAAAATGCACGTGGATTCGAGCGTGCTTTCTGCGGACGCGTTCCAACT